CGCCCTGCTCCTGGCATCCCCAGGACACCGCAGCCCTCCTTCCCCGAGACCCCTTGTTAGCTAAGACGTGGACAGCCGGACCCATTGCACAACAGCAAACGCTGAATTACTAACGAGCACCGACAGGAAAGGAACAAAATTCTTTGCAGAGCAGCTGAAAAGCAATCTGCAAAGACCACGCTCTCATGCCCAGAGGATAATCTGTTTTGACAGCAAGAGGAGGAGAGAGCCTGACCCCCATGGCTCCCTGTGCCAAACACCTCTAGCCGTGCCTCCGCCTGCCAAGGAAACAGCCACCAGATATTAAAAGCCTCTGAGTCTCCTGCGGGTGCTGTCTCACAGCCTCAGCTCCGTTGACTGACCAGGAGCCTGGGCCAACGCTTACCCCATGTTACAGCTGTAGGTTATTGTCACCCCGAACTGGAGGTTGGTCGTGGAGTTAAAGTTGCCATTCATGATGTCTGGTGGACTGCACGACTTTCCTGGAAGGGCAAGTGATCAGCATTACCTTTATTTTATAGCATGATAGTGAAACGCAGGTGGCACTGCTGTTCAGTGTCATTACAGACTAATTGACCATTTATTGGGCACCTAACTTCCCTCGTGAGCAAGTACCAGCACTTTCAGAAAAGATACAAGACCCACATTAACTTCTGAGGAACTGAAAGTTAACACACAAATAAAGAGCGACTAAAAGCACAAATAAAGCTAAGGGCAAATAAAAAAAGCCAAGGTTACGCTTACTGAGAAAGGAAACTGATAAAGAGACCAGTGGGCTCAGGGCAGAGGTCTTGGTCCGTAGGGAAACAGCACGAAGGAGAAGGGGACAGGGAGGGACCCACTGACCGCCCTAGGGCCAGTACAGGTGCATTACCGTGGGGACAACAGACTCCCATGGCCTTTTCCACATTGTACCTTGTTTCTGTGCAATTATATTATAGCATTTATACTGTATCACCAGGGCATAAAGCAATTAAGGCAGAGATCATCTCCCAGAGATTAACGTTTCTAAGTGGAAAGGGCAACCCCAGGCAGGCACGCAGGGTGAGGGCTTGGACTCAACTGCGCTGAAAACAA